CTGCCAAACATCCAAACATAACTTACAGCGAGAAGCAATATATTGAAAATGATATAGGTTCTACTGATGATTCAAAGGTATGTCTAATAAAACTCATATATGCAAGTATATGTTGCAATGTTCAAAGGAAATAGAAAGAAAAACTAATTTTTTCGCTTCTTTATTTGCAGAAACCGAAATCAGTTCCGTGGAAGAAAATACTGACCCACCGTGGCATGTATGCTATCATAGTGGCGCACATTGGGCAGGCGTGGGGACAACTCACCTTGTACGCGGAGGTGCCCGCCTTCATGGACAAAGTCATGGGGGTCAACATCAAAGCGGTAATTTATTTTTATTATATTTTAAACCAATGTCGCTATTTGTATCTCACCCTTTCTTTTCGTCTGTAAGAAATGGTTTACACATTTTATATCTTTGTATTTTCGCAGAACGGCTTGCTTTCTGCTCTTCCGTTCCTTGTCATGTGGTTTACCAACTTCTTCTTTAGCTGGGCCGCTGACAAACTGATCGCTAAGAAGATACTCAGCGTAACGCACACACGGAAACTTGCTAACTCTGTGGGCAAGTTAAAATTATAGTTTGATTTTAATTTATGACATTTTATTACAGTATAAATATTTTATATTACGTGTTTTAATATCTTCTAGGCAGTATTCCAGCGGCAGTAGGTCTAGTAGTGCTCGCATTTGTTCCCAAAGAATTGGTGATTGTTGAAAGTGTTTTGGTGATACTTTGCGGTTTCAAGGTCGCGACCCACGTAGGGGTTTACGTAAGTATTATATCTTATAGAAAACATATGAAAACAAATGACGTCATGCAATAAAGGGTGGCTTATCAATTTATAGGTGAACCACATCGACATATCTCCCAACTTCTCGGGAACCATGATGAGCATCAGCAACCTCATGTCCAACATGTGCGGCTCTCTGGCACCTATCGTGGCTGGCATGATCCTCACTGATGTTGTAAGTAGCCATACTTATACGTACCGACGTAATCTTAGTACTAGATACGTATGTAGATAGACGGACAAACAAAATGTCAAACTTGCGTTAAACAAGGTACCAACAAATTTTAGCACATCTGCTTCCTATTGAGCCCATGTCTTGTTACGTTACAGACCAGTGAATACCTCTGGAGACAAGTATTTTTCGTAGCCGCAGGAATATATTTTGTGACGAACATTGTTTACCTGGCACTGGGCACGTCGGAGCGCGCGGACTGGAACGACCCACCGCCGTCGCCAGAGGAAGAGCACACTGCAGACATGCTAGAAGCCAGACCTATGCTGGAGATCGTACAGAAGTCGAGTCAAAAAGATTTAACTAGCAATTAGTGATATTTAAATACAAATACTATATATTAGACTAATAAGTATTATACAGGAAATCAAAAAAATACTTGAACTCACAAAGATTTGTTTTCACGTATTTCGAAAAACAACTTGTAAAGAGGCTTTGCATGCAACATTTATTTGACAAGTCGATTAATGATTCATCGGCGCCCGTGGGGGATTACTTTCAACCCTTTGCATGAGAAATGTTGAGCGAACACATATAAACCTTGCAATAGAAGTGGAGCGCGGCGGCGGGCAGGCGGCGGACGCGGCCTCGGGCGGCACCAGAGAGATTAGTCGTGAATATCAATGAACGATAGAGCACCACACCGCTGGACAACTAACTGGATTTTATAACGAAACTGTACCGCTGGGAACTAAGTTAGAAACAATCGATTTCTGGACTAAGTTAAATTGCTTCTCAGGAACAAAATTTGCTTTGTCACTAGTGATTTTAAGAGTGATTACAATAGATACTTAATATTTATAAACCCAAATACGTTAATATTGTACCATATTTTTGCAGTATCCGTTGAGAATAATTCTATTCTCTTTAATGAATATTCATGTTTAACAATTTGCTAACTAGATATTCCAGGCGCATCGTTAGTTGTTACAGCAAAGTTTGTTTTTTTTTACTTAATAAATTCGAGTCCAAATTAAACATTTAAAGTTTCATTATCTAAAACGTCATCATCTTCTTCCCTTCCTTATTCAAAGCCCGTAGTGTCAGCGCACCGGGTTCTCGTCCACCAAATACTAGTTTACTAGCTAATTCGATACTAAATATGTTAGTTACAATGATCCTGTAAGCCTGATAATTCTAATATTGTTCCGATTGGTTTTATTTGTATTGAATTCGATTATACTGTAGATGTCATTTATTATTTAAAACATTATCAATATCTTGTATGTCTATCTAGTATGTCCGTTGTATGGTCCTCTTTATCCTCAGCTTCCTCTTACGCACATGTATTATCTTATCATTTTATATTGACGCACAAATGTGAAAAATGATACATTACCTTTCAGTCGTTGAACGCATTCACATTCACATAGAGTTTTTTTTTTAATTTAATACGTCAGTTGTTACTGCTGTGACCCATGTTTTGACGTTGACCTAAACATATAACTAGCTGTCATACCCTACATAGACAATAACATTTTTTTTCTTTTTTTCATACTAGCCCTTACCCCAGACTTTATCAGCGTGCAATTAGAAAAAGCTTAGGAAGTGGGCCAAGTGTTCTTTCAGTCTGTAGTCTTGGCTATTGTTTAATTTTAAAATAGGAACACGATTTTAACAAGCATAATCTTCACTTCGTACTAATCATATGATACATACTAATTTTGTAAATACAAGAGTTTGGATGGATTAATGTTTTTGCGTATCAATAAAAAAACTACGAATCTCGATGAAATTTGGCAAATGTTCTACATCAGTGCTAAGACCATCCATCTAAACAATTGCATTCGTAAAATTATTGTAGACTGTAGGATATGTTTAGTACGATATGTGAATTACAAAATTGTATAAAACCGTGTTCCTGATTTAAAATTAAACAAAAGACAATAATATATTCTAAAAGAAGATAGCAGCTAATATACATTCGATTAGAATCTAATCCTTGAAATGACGTGTTTTTGTGCGCTAGTTGCTCATGTGAAGAGAAGACATACTCATTCACAGTTATAATTTGCATATTAGCTAATGTTCTTTGTCATACATTGATACTAAACATTGGTCCACTTTACATACTTTCTTCGTGATAAGCTTGTCACTCAGGTGTCATTTGTTTTAATGTCGATAAGTGAGGAATCAGTCAGCTTCAAGTATCTTTGTGAATAGGTAAACTACTAAGACATTGTTGTTTATAAAAAATTACTGTTTTGTTACCTCACAGCCACAATTAGCAGTAAATCATTATCCCATCATAGCATAACTTTAAAATAAAAACAGTATTACCAACGCTTGAAAGAATCTTTTACGAAGCTTTAAAATGTAATTAAAAGTAAGAAAGCTTGTCAAGGGGAATGTTTTGCAGTTTCCGAAGGTATTTCTTAATTAAAAATATTTACTGCATTTAAAATGTTTGCCTTTCAGTTTTTAGTGTTGGCTAACTGATCTCGACAGGCGCTGCAATGCCAGGCATAATCATTCCAAAACTGTAAATTAATAATACAGTATTGACTTTAACAGATAAACTAAAACACTAATATTTAAATTTCTGAGGATCGTCATTAGCCCAGTGGTTAAGCACTTGTCTTGTAATCGGCACGTACTAGGTTCGATCATGGTGAAGGAAAAAATCTATTAGCGATATCCAAAGATATGCGGAAGGTCAGAATCAGAAAACAGTTAGGTGCTGGTCTATGGCCTAGTCACGCTCTAACTAAGGGTAAGCTCCGATTCCCTAGATGGGGACGTGGTGATGATTATTGTAGTGAGGATATCTACTCTGGCGTTAATATACTACAAGATAGACAACAAAATGTGCAGCCTTGAAACGTCGAGGAATGATAAATGAGTTATTACTCAAATCCATGGATCTCTCAAATTATGCAAGTCGCTGCTTGAAATCAGATAAAGTACTCGAGGAATATTTTTTATCACTACAGTTTTGTTTACGAGTCTCACGCGGCCGCGGCTACAACACAAGGAATTGTTATTATTCATTACAATCTTACTTATACGAGTATTATGAATGCGAAAATTTGCATGGATAAATGTTTGGTTACATGTAGAGGATAGTCTGGTAGAGCACCTACACGTTTTTGTTTTTTGTTTATTCCGTGCTGGCGGAGACACGGGCGTAATCTAGTAGCAGAATAATCATTATAAACCATCAGGCACAGAGCTAACCTTAAAAGCTGCTATAAATATGTGGCTTAATGTTTCCATTGTGATAGTAAATTGTGTCAACTATGAGCGTCGCCATCAAGGACAATAGATATGAAAACTTCAGTTAAGATCATATAAATGGTAACTCCTCCCCCACACCTAGAGCTAGCCTAGATTATCAGCTGGCGACGCCACTATCTATATTTTGCTTGTTGCATGACATCAAAATTCGACTAACGTAAATGTAAATGTTTAATAGGTATCAATATGGGTCGAGGGTACATTTGATATAATTTTACAATGACACACATGCATGCAGCTAGATGTATCAGAAGACTTTACCAAGGTTCATTTTTGCACAATTAAGGTCACATTGTCATACGAAAATGTATAAAACTTCACAAATTATAATTCTTTATCAGAAAGCAAATAATCGATGTGATATAAAAAGCTTCCGGAAGTCATTCAAAATTCTCCCACAATTTTATTTAAATAATACGTTTTTAGTTTTTTTTTTTTATTTTTGCTTGCTTTTGTACATTTTACTGTATTTTATGTTTATTCTTAAACTCTTAAAAGGATAAAATTTTTTAGTGTCGAAGTAAATTCATAAATTACTTCACAATAAATACAGGGAACTAGATGAGTACAAACAAGTCATTTAGTTATGCCGCTGGGATGAAAGATAGTGTTTATTTAAGAGCAAGCTTTGATGCTGGATTCTTTGAACAGCAAAGGGGAATTACATTGAAAAATAGTTTAAAGGGATTTTTTGCTTAGTAAGTTTTGTTGAGCTTCACTCTACTTTACTTTATGGCTCTTCTACTACACAATTCAATTTTATTTTCATTTAAATTATACCTTGATGACCATTTAATGTTAATTTAATGGGACAAATAATAAAAGTCTTCCTTTAAATTTCATAGAGGCGCTTGTTCATTACAATAATACGTACATGTTGTAGTAACTAGATTAAAACACGAGCGCTTGTTTTTTGTTTCCAAAACATGCCAAAAATGTAAAAGATAATTAAAAGCCATAGATATATCTGCCACCTGTTGCTACACAATGTGGTGAGTGCCACTTGTCTTGCATTAGCTTCGCATTTCATGATCGATTGTCTGACCACGCACCTAATGATATCATTAAGCAAATAATACAAGACAATAATGTCGAAGAGGATAATATTAACAATTTAAAATAAATAAATAACAAGTAAATGAATTATTACGTCACCAGCGTTGTTGTAGGCTTATTTAATTGTAACTCGCATGATTGGTTTGCTAACGAGTCAATTATCTTTTTAATTAACTCTATTATACATACATTATCAATCGATTAAGTACATAGCGTGCATTGCTCCCGTACCTCAGTCTTATTATGTCACATCCCTTGTCTGTATGAAATAATTTGACTAACAGAAACCAGACCATCAGGACCTAGTTAATTTTTATGTGCTAATCTCTACAACATTCTATTCAAAATCTATTCAATAATGTTCTCTTTAGATTTCGTTATCGAAATCAAGATGTAACCAAATTCAATCCAAATCAAGTAACCAGCTTGACTTCTTAGAATCCGTAGCAGTTCTGTAATCTAATTTTAATTCGAAATAAACATTACTTATGTTATTGTTATAATTAAAAAGGTGTCATACAGAATTGCAATAAGTCGATTGCAGGTTGACATTGATAAGAAGGCGAGGCCGAGGCCCGCCTTCGCCTTCGTCGTACAAATACAAAAGAAAAGAAAAAAAGCATCGCAGTCAATCGCAGTGCGCACGCAGAGGCCGTCGCGGCGAACGCGCGCGCAACCACACCTTACTTACCTACACTAAACCAAAACATTTACCAAAGAAACTAAACTTCACACAATTTGAACACACAATGACCATACAGTGACAACGAACACTATTTCGTACCGCATTTATTACAATATTAATTCGAATTAAAATGAATTCAAGGTTATAGTTTAAGATCTACATTAAATTATAATTGTTGTAAAAACATTTTCCTGTTGTCCGAGTGAATCATAAGAAGTATTAAAACACAGTGAAGATGTCCGAGGAAGGGACTCAAGATGTGAAGAAGCCCAGTGAGTAATATATTAAATTGATTATTTGTCTCATGACAAATGTCCAGCTGTCGCTCTATTTGACTAAGCCATACTTAACTCCGTAGATAGCTTTCTTAATAAATAGACATAACGAGGGAAAAGTTCCGCGTATTGTTAGACAGAGGTCATTAGAAGGAGGTAGTGATCAATATCAGCATCCGGAATTCCCTATAGAATCTATAATTATCGCCATTCGTAATAATATCGAGGACATCAAATGAGAATTTTTAAATAGTTTAATTAACACTTTATTTAAAACACAATTCAGCCTCTTGTGTATGTGAAAGCCTGATGGCATCATAGTACGTGACCTACGGTTCTATAGAAAACATTTTAACGATGTTTTGCTAAAGACCTGGTAAATTAACCATATATTATATCTTGAAAAATAAGTGGGCCTTATGATTACTTACAGTTTAAACTGCGAATGGTGTACATTTCATGGTAACAAATAAATTGTAATCATAATGTAGTTATATCATTTAATGAGCCTATCGGCTGATATGACGCAGTTTAATTAAAAACATGTAATAACTTAGCGTAATGCATCTGAGGTAATTACGTCTATGTGTTGATATAAAGGCGAAGGTAATTTCAGTCATCGCTGCGTTGTTAGTAAATTGACAAATGACCGACTGCCTGTTACCTTTCAACGTCAACGTTCAAATACCAGCTCAGGCAATGTTTGCGCAAACAACCGAAGGCAATTAAACTGCAACTCTTAACTTGCCTAGGAAATAACACAATAAAAAAATTACAACGCGTAAACCACTTGACAGAATGGTTACACAATGTATTTCTTTCATTAAAAATAAATTAAAATCATAATCAATCTTACATTCTTTCGTTCTAAAGGCTTGTAGCACACTGGCAAGAATATATAAGCGCACAATAAGAGGAATGGCAATTCTGTGAGTCCTCTCCAGAAAGCGACGCGTCTGATATTCATCATCGTTATCAGAGGCACTACAGCCGCGGGTGGGCCTGGACCTGGTCCAGTAAATTCCTCCATATCGGTCTATCTTGGGCTTCTTGTTTCCAGCCTTTAATGCCGACATTTTAAGGTCTCGTTCGACATCATCTTGTCATCTTAGTTTCGGCCTCCGGTGTGATCTACATCCCTCTGGTTGACTCTCTAATAGGCGCTAGGGCACTCTGTAACTCATCCTCGCTACATGTCCTGCCCAGCGTAGCTGACCAACTTTGATGGCCTCGACGACATTTGGCTCATTAAAGATTTGGTAAAGTTTTGGTAAAGTTCGTGATTATCGAGCGTCTGATATTGCGACAGTCTATAGAAAGAGGTCGCTTCGTTGTTTCGGCGAATTCCGACGGCTTCTTGCGTTTTTGCCACACACACAAAATGCGGTGCAGTTTAGTTTCGGATTCTTACAGGTACTCTAGCTGCAATACAACTTGTAGATTGTTGATATGAGGCTTGCATCGATTCCGATTAGATTTCGCGGCAGTGTGCTTCAGGCTTAAGATTTAATTATAAAAACTACGAGTAAGTAGTATTGAGCTATATCCTTTTCATTTAGATTGCTTTTGAATGGTTAAAAAAACCAAATGAAATCAATATTGTTAATCGATTATCGTTCAGATCAATTGCATAATTATGAGGGTTAGGTATGTATATCGGTCAGTTTTATTGAAGAATGACAGAATGCCTGGATCACATAATAAGTTTGTACGCAAAACTTGTTAGCAATCTAAATGCGAAAAGCGTTTTGAATTTTATTTCTAGGTTTTTTTAGGTCGTAAACCTCTAACAGCGCAAAATATTCCCAGTATTGTACAAGTATATAGCGGAAACTGTTTTCGGCAAAATAAACCATACGTACATTTTAGTGTTATGTATTTGCAATGCAAATTTTATTGTATTATATTAAATTTGCTCTTATCGAAATCGTATTGTAGGAGTTGAAATTTGCTTAACAACGAGTAATTTGAATAAATATCTATACCAAAGTTATATTAATGCTTAAGATACTTAGTTACATTTCATTTAAACTTAATTTAACTACTGCATTACCGCAAAAATAGAATTAGCATCTGTTTAGTCACCACGTGTTTTAACTCTGTCCTTTGCTGATTAACATCTACACGTGATTATAAGTTTCGCCGTAATTAATTGCTTTATTAAGTTTTTTCACGTATTAATTGAATAGCCATGATTTGTCGGATTAACGCATGTTTAAGAAAAAATGTATTTAAAACGTCATATGTTGTTCATGGTAAGGGACAAAAGTTTCGCTTTCTTCGCGTAAACAGTAAATTGCCACTTCCCGGTGTTTCTGAGTTAACGCGCGCATATAAAGTTACGGCGACTATTAACACTTCCTTTTGCATCGTAATGTGAACAAACAAACGTAACCGTGATCTTCCATTGTCTACACAAGTGTAGAAAAATATATTGTTATCTCTATTTTTGGAAAGGAAATGAAAGAAACGACATGTTCTCGTAACTCGTGGTATTCGACATAATGATAGTTTAATCTTAATATATGTGAAAATGATTTTGTTTAATCCATTTAAATTAATTTAAAAACGCTGTATCGCGGTTCTTGATTCTTACAATTTTGCTAACATTATGCAATTGCTAAAATGTATGGATGTTTCTTACTAGATATCTCCAGAACGGTGAAAGGGATATTTGTAGAACACAGTCTGGAAAAACACAAATGATGTCGGTTCCCGTGGGATACTTTTCAGTCTCAATTTACTCGAAAACTAACGGTTCAACATTTTTTATTGTAACTTGGCCCAGATTAAAACATAGTTCCGAATAACAAATGATATATACACCTTTATGTCAATTTAATAAATGACTGTTGATGAGGAACTTATTAAAATAGTACGGTCTAATGAAAAGATGCGAATTCTTTAAACTGTTGTGACGTCATCGAGTTGGCGAGTTTGTATGACTTTTCACACATACAGATTTGCAGAGCTCACAAAAAACGACAAACATTAACTTAGTAGTGGAATTTAAAACATTCAACATAAGTATTTGATTACGATATCACTGCATTAGATATTATAATGTTTATGTTACCGATGTCACCGGAATATTATGAATTTAGTTAGTTTACAATCGTGCCAGATTTAAGTTTTTTTCTAGTATTCATAATATAGTAGAAAATCACATAAACGAATTTTGCAATAGTTACATATTATGTAACGTAAGTTGGCTCTCGGAAAAATTCATTTATAAGCGCATTTCAATATTCTGTATAACTGGATAATTACCATACATTTAACCTAAATGTTAAGATCGGCAAACTATCTCAACATTACATTTGGTAAATGTTCGAGCAACTCAAACTGCTAGTGTTTACCTTGAGAACTCCTTAGTGGTGAATAAGCACTGGTCTGTACCTGCATTTATACACCGATATTTGTATAAACACGTAATACTTGAATCTGCAGAGTTTTCGTTAAATAAACTGCAATGGACTGACATTGACCTAGAAAGGTCGATAGAGGTGACAGATTTTTGGTTTGTTATGGTGAAGCAAATAAATTGGTCTTTTTAGTACTTTTTAATTTTGTCGTGTTATAAAGGCGATCATTCTGTGAATGTCCCAGTCCTAGATACATTTTAAAGGCTTTTGAAATATTTTCCTCATCGCGTTAAGATGGCAAAAAGCACGTACAATATACATATTTCAATGAAACATACCTAAATGTATTATATGCAACTATATTACTTAACTTTTGAAAACCCAAACATAGTAATTGATTTTAAAAAATTAGGCAAATCAATGTTGAAAACGCCTACGTGGGGAATATTGCACAATACACCAAAATAAAATATGAAAGTAATAAAAGATATCAATTTAGTTTAAATTATTTATTGGCTAAAATTATTGGTTTAGCAATAACTGATAATAGATGACGCTAACAACAATTGTAAATATATTTTCATTAATTAAAAAGTAAAAGCATATTTATATTAAGTAAGTTAGTTTATGTTGTAAAAATACTGTAGATGAATATTTATTATCGTACTGGCCACCAAAACAACAATAAACATGTCAAAATTTCAACATATTAAATGACACTTTATCGAGAGAGGCGCTCAGCGAGTCGATATATTAGATGCAACATTTATGGAATGTAGATTGTTCAACCTCGTATACATTACGCTCCTTACGGAAATCCATTGAAACACTAACATAAGCTGCGGCGGAGTGCTGTACGTAAACAATACGACCATTTGTTACACGTTTCATATATCTTAGACAAAACTAACTACAACTGCACAGTGTTATGTAAACTTTAGCATTCATAAAACAAAAACAAACGACATATGTCACAGTAAGAGTGTGGGAAAACTAGAAAAATATTTAAACGTAGAATACAGCAGTGATCTTAGATCGCCTTTGGATTCAATAAACAGTTAAAAACCGTCTCAAAAACTGTAAGTTAACTTGCGAACGCTACAAACAACTTTCATATTAGACCTTGGAAATTGGCTAACCTGAAAAGTTAATAGCGGAAATAATATTAAATACACGATCAACGATAACTGCGATTCCGTTTATTAGCGCATAATGACATATTTTTATTAAACTAAAGTAGACACGAGTAAAATAAGTTTACCGCTAAAGTCTTATTGTGTTGTACGTAAAGTAATGACCTCAAACAATCGTTACTTTAAACGCATAATAAACTAAAATATGTTGAAGTAAAAACTTGAAGGAAAAATAAATTAAAATAACATTAGTCATTTGTAGAGCCAACGCACATTTTAAGTGTTTGTGTGTGTGTGTGTGTGTGTTGGGTGACTGACTGATATAATAAGGAATTAAAATTGTTTTTATTTTTATGCATGAAAAATATAAACCAAAAGCAATAAAGAAACGAAACCCAAGGAAGTGACACACTCGATAATTCAATCATGGGTATCGTAAAAGTTTAAATGGGAAAGAATGTGATTCACCCTGTCCCTGTCTAGTTGCGTTGTCTTATGCCTAAATGTTTCGATGTATCTTAACAGTACATAGTAACAATAGTATTATGCTGCAGGCTCAGCGCTGGGCGTCCGGCACGCGCAGTGCGTGATGCTGTTCCTCGCGCTGGTGCTGGCGTTTGCGATGCGCGTCAACATGAGCATGGCTATCGTCGCCATGACAGACAAGAGCAAGGAGGACGTGAGTACTTATTACATTTATTAAGATAAATTGCACAGAAGTTGTTAACAGCACTCCACAGATTTTTTAGGTTTTAAAAATTGGCTACGTTGTCGTTGAATCATTTATATTAAAGTTGTTTTCATCGTGATGCCGCGAAAATCCTATTTATGCTAAAGCTAATATTAATCTCTCTACCGATTTGACCTTAAAAGTCTATATCAATATTTGTGGTCAGCGAATGTTGGTTCATATAATGATATCCTGTAACATATTTGCAGTTCTCGAAAATTGTCTGTTTGTTACATGACATAATGAGGTTTGTGTGCTAATACATGAGATAAAATTGAGTCGATTTGTGTTATATTACGATGAGAAAATCGTATCAGTTGTTTTGTTTCGTATGTGATCACTGTTATTGCCACTCGAAGCTGGTATCTGAACCGCTCGCGTTGTTGCCGCGTGTTAAGCCACTCGACGTCGCGATGTCGCCTCTCACGTGCCACTGGACTTAGATAACTCGAAGACTATCTTACATAATGTCACTTATCTTGAAGGACGGTCAAATCTGATCACAACCGATCAGAAAAATTGAAAACTAAAATCTGATAACATGTAATAATTTTCTGACTAAAATCTCAAATGTGATAGATAGTTCCTGACAGCTTTATCAATAATAGAGAATACTAATGTAATCTGGTCACGTACAGAGCGTGATTGTTTTTCATACTATATTTATGAAGGTGAAGAAAACATAAAATCAATGAATTGCTTACAAACATTTTAACTTAAGACCAGATAGTATTATGATCTTGGCCGCTAAGTTGCGGCTCCGTGGGGATGCCCCTAACGATACTATCTATCTATCAATCCTCAGACTCAAGAGGTAAATAATATTTACCTCATTGCTCTTTGAAAAGTTTCGCACTCGATACAACGTTTGAAAACTTACTTAAATCTCTTATATGACTGGTATGTTATTTGGGTAAACAATGTGTTTCTTTATCTGGATATAAATAAGTGCGTAGTTAGTATCCATTAGTAAAAAAGACTCGCTGTGCAGTGTATGCAGCGGGCTGTAGGCAATGCCCGTGCGCGTTATCGTGCGATCTAACGATGGCCGATAGTGCACCAATCATCTCAAGCTCATTACAAGGATTAGATTTGTTAATTGTTTTTATAAAATTATTATTACAAAGTAAGGAATATGATTTTGATAGTTATATGTAAGTATGTAGGGTGCAATGTTATCACTGATATTGCACCTTTCTTCCAAATCTCTTATTGCCTGAAAACAGAATCTTTGTGAATACTAGAAGTTACGAAATGTTTTCAAAAATAAAATGTTTTTGTAAACGTTTACACGTGATTTTCGATTAATTTCAGTGAAGGTTGCATACATAAAAAAATGTATATATGCTTTGTATGAAAATTATTATTTTATTTTCACGTATTTCGATTATTGGATTGCGAAGTATAGAATCCAATTATGAAGTTTGGGAAGTGGAGTGACTCGATACTAAATTGTACTTCCGGCCTCTGGCAAGGACGTTAGTTTCATTATCAGATAAATGTTCCCTGTGCCAGCCCTTGGAGATTTATTAGGGTTGCCGCTGAGAGGTATTTAGACTTCACTTGAGGGAGTATTGCTCGTAATATTACACAGTTATCTTAATGCACAAGCGGAAAACGTTATTCTCTAGGTTATTCACTTGTTATAATTCGGCCTTCGTTTTTCATTAAAAGACGTTTACATTAACGTAAAATTATATTACTTATTAATAACGTGTTTTCTACAATAGTTTTATGGTAATCGGAGTGTGAAAAACTAAACCACCGCACTGTGGGTCCTGAGAAGCCTTGTGTATGCTTACATACCTACACAATGTGAGTGATGTTCTGCAGTCGTTCGAGTGGAGCATGCAGACGCAGTCA